CACCACGCCCGGCCTTGATCTCATATCTTGTGCAAAGAAACAGAATGTTATTCACTGTAAATATGTGTAAAGATGGGGAGAAGAGAATGTGATACTTGCCAAGAAGTTTTAGAGTTTTTTTTTTCATTCCTTTTTGAAAACCTTATTTGTGATATTAGTGATATGGAAGTGAAAGATTTTGTTTCCTTGTTTCACCACCCACCTTAATAAAAACACCACTTACCCCCCCAGATGGAAATAGCTTGCCAAGTTTTCCTTTTTAAGAGATAGTCTTTCTTCTTGTTTCCTCTTCCCCCTAGCATATTCCTCTGCAGACACTATTGAAGTTCATGGTGGACATTGCCCTGGGAATGGAGTATCTCAGCAACAGGAATTTTCTTCATCGAGATTTAGCTGCTCGTAACTGCATGTAAGAGTCCTGGGCCATCATGGAAGGGGTTGGACCTCATGGTATTTGATGTTTGCCAGGGTGGGGGATGGCCTGTTGCTGTTGAGATATGGAAGGAAGCTAAGTTTGGGATGGGACAGTATGGCTTGCTATGAAAATGGGATTATGACTGGGTGTTTGCTTGGGATTTAAATACCTTTGCCTCTAAGACTCTGATTGGCCTCCAAAGCTTTCTCCTGTGCCTACTTTTTTATTTTCACTCCCTCACTCAAGTAGGACTGCTAGGTGTGACCTTTGATCCTTCCTCACTGCCAGCAGCTAGCTTTGGACCCAGAGTTACGTGTAAGTCAGCTAATCGTGAAGACAGTAATAAAAATTGCAAAGGTTTTGGCCCTAAGTTTTCCTAACGCTTCCTTGTGAAGGAGTTCTGTGCTTTGAATTCATGGAAGCTTTCTTTTCACAGCAGACAATGGCTTGTTGTCTGAACTTTGGACTTAAGTTCTCCCCATTTCTTCAGCCTGCTTCAACAGAGCCATTATCTGCTGTAAATCTTCAAAAACTATTAACTAGTAACTATTTCTTGATTTTGAGTTTGCTGTTGCAAGAAGAGGGAGTGGTCCTTAAATATGTTGCTGTCGTTTGCTTTTCTAGGCCAGAGCTGTGACAATAGGGCCTCCACCCTCAGGCCTCCCAACCAATCCTGCCCTCCAGCTCCTACCCATTTCACAAACCTCATTTTTAGAAACCCCAAAGGGGGTTTGGATTTTGTTATTGTTTTTATTTAAATAATTTTTCTACCATGGAGGTAGAAAAATTTCTGTTTCCTTTATGTTTTTCCCACCAGGTAGGGTGAACAGCTTTCTGGTTTTCCCTGGACTGAGGGGATTCCCAGGACATGAGACTTCCAGTTTTGAAAGTCAGTGTCAGGCAAACAGAGACAAGTTAGTCACCTACCCCAGACCACTCTATATCTCTTCCTTCTCTTTCTCTTTTTCCTCTTCCTCCTCCTCCTTCTTGTCTAGGAGCTGTTTTAATAACAAGTTATAAATGCAATTATATCTCTTTAATTTCCCAATTAATTCCTCAAGCACCCACCTGGTCATCTTGGCAAGTAGTCCAGTGTCTCCCTCTTACAGCAATACTTCCCCTCCTCCCCCACACTCTCGGGAGCCTTGCTTAGTCCATAAGACAGGTGCTGCTTCCAGAACTTAGGCAGGAGGCTCCTGGGGCACTAGATCAGTCCCGCAGAGGGCCTGGTTTTCAGCTGCTGCTCCTTCGACTCCACATCTCTGTTCCCTCTGGGAGTCTCCATCCTCTGTGCACAGGAGCACTTGCTGGTGCAGATCCCCGCACAGACCAGAGTGCCGCAGCACTATAGCTCTTCTGGCTCCCCCACACTTGCCCGGCCATTGGTGCCAAAGCAGGACCCTCCCAAGCCGATAGGGTCTCTATCTTCCTTTGGTCACTTTCCATAAATGTTTTCAGCTGCATGTGATTTAAAGCTTTGCCTCTGAGGTTGCTGATGACATGAACTTGCCCTCTGCAGGTTGCGAGATGACATGGCCGTCTGTGTTGCGGACTTTGGCCTCTCTAAGAAGATTTACAGTGGCGATTACTACCGCCAAGGCCGCATCGCTAAGATGCCTGTGAAATGGATTGCCATCGAGAGTCTTGCAGACCGAGTCTACACAAGTAAAAGTGACGTGGTATGTACACGGCTTTGATTCAGGGCCCCACGTTGCAAAGATGAGGACACACTGAAAGCAGTGACTTACGCTGGTATTGCAAGACATTTTATTCTTTGATAAACTGAGGATTGGGAGCATGCTCAGCATCCTCTTTTATGTCTTGCTAGATACTTTAATGTAGGTGGAATGGTAGATTCTGGTGAAGCATCCTAACATTCAGAAGAGCTGTACTTTGCACAGGCCCTTCATTTATTCCTATTTTTCTTTGCAATCAAAGGATGACTCATTGCCCACAACTAAGGTATTTCCTAGTCATTAAATTAGATGAGTTCATCCAGTGGCTCTTTGGAACCGAGATGCTATATGAAAGGCACTGTGGAATTACACCCTTGACCCAAGAGCAGGAGAAGGGAACACCTCACAGTCATGGTGGAGCAGAGCCTTAAGCAGAGGCCTGGTGTGTGACGAAGCTATATCTGCCTTTGCCAAATTTCCCAGAACAACTTTCATAAAATTGGGGAACAGTGACACTCCAACCCACACTATTGCCGTGTTGGGAGAGCAGCACGTCTCATACATAATTGCCGGCTTTGTGTACAATCATCGGGGCTTTAAGGAAATGACCTTTCCCAATGAAAAAGTCCATTCAGCCTTTGTGGAAAGACTTGCATCCTAATTTGTTGTTGCCTTGTTCTCAGTGGGCATTTGGCGTGACCATGTGGGAAATCGCCACGCGGGGAATGACTCCCTATCCCGGGGTGCAGAACCATGAGATGTATGACTATCTTCTCCACGGCCACAGGCTGAAGCAGCCCGAGGACTGCCTGGATGAGCTGTGAGTGAGCTTCTCCATGTCCCTGGGCTCTGCATGGGGCAGCCAGGGCTCTGCAGACACCTGGGGAAATGCACCTATGTGTGTGTGTGTGGGAGGGTGCTGTTAGCCAGGTGGGCATGCGCAGGGGGTGGCACCTGCTGACACTCCTGGCCAGGAGCCATTCCTGGTGTGGGAGATGACATGTGGCATCTCCAGTGAGCCCACCAAGTGAGCCTCAGCTGTGAAGGACAGGCACTGTCAAGTCAAGGTGATGGCACGTGTCCTAAAATTCCTTTCATACCTCTAGGAAATACATCCACAGATAAACAGGTTTGCTTTATGGTGCATGAGATACTGGAATGACTCCCCTCCCTCTTTCAGACCAGTTATCCTTCTCTTTCTATAATACATAGCATTTCAAACACACCACTCACAGTAATATCCTTCATCAGGAAATTTAGAAATCTAAGCCAGTCACTTTGAGATCAGGCTGGTCATCAGAATTGCTTGGAGGATGTTCTAACAATGTGATTCCTTGGCTCTGTGCCTGGAGGTAGTGATGCTTTTGGTACAAAGTGTGCCCAGAAATGTGCATTTTAAAATGCTCTCTGGGAGTTGGTGTGCTCAGCCAGGAGTGAAACCCCCAGCTAAACGCACGCAGGACCACAGAGCACATCCCTTCCCAACAGGCCCCTCTGTCCTCCAGGCAGCATGGGCCTTGGAGTGGGGCAGGCCAGGCTCTGCCTCCTAACCAGCCATGTATGTTGTGGCCATCGCAGTTGACTTGCCCTCTCTGTGCCTCATGTTATCAGCCACAAAAAATGTCTCACCATACATCCCCCAGGGAGATACAGTGAGGGTATCTGCCCAGAAGGCTCAGCCTGTAGGAGGCACACGGAGTAAATGCTCACATAAGGATGCCAATTATTAATGGCATCACTGTGAACCGATCTCCCCCAGGCACCTTGCTGACCTTTTTAAAATAATTTCTTATGGTGCTGCCTGCAGCTTGGTGATTTGAACTTTCCTGATGGTCAGTCTCCTCTCACCGTTCACCATTGTGTGTAAGGCTTGTGGGCTTGGAGAGGGCATTCTCACTGCAGTTAGCAAGAACATTTCAGCGCTGTGGGCCTGTGCTGGCTGTCATGGAGTGCCATGCCCGGGCGCCGGCGCGGGTGAGCACGGCGGGCAGCCCCCCTACACCCACATCCACACCCACACAAACACGTGCCTACACATGCACACACTCTGGTCCTGCTGCCTCACATGGGAGAGAGAGCCTGGGTCCGTTTGCCCACAGGCCTCCCAAGTGCCTTCAAAGCAAAACAGAAGGGAACTGTTTTAATCAGAGCGTCACCCTGCTTGGCGGTGGTGGTGGTGGTTATTGTGGCTGTAGCTGAATAACATTAAGAACACAAACAAACGCTGTAAATCATTTTAAAACATCATGGAATGGTAATTAAATTAGTTCTAGGGTTTCACGGTAGTTTTAAAAAGGGCCATGTTAATGAAATGCTTGTTTCTGAAAATGAGGAAACATTTCAATCAAATAATATTGACTGGAAAGAGTTCGTTGCAGTTTCTTAGCTTTCCCTGTGCACTAAAAAAAGTTCATATTTGCAGTGATTATCGGGGATCTTAACGAGGTCGAAGCTTTGTCACATTGTGGTTTTAGAGCCAAAATGAGAGAATGCTGAGTCGGTTTTCTGGGAGACTTCTTAGGAGACGGAGCGGCAGAGTCAGCATGCGCCACGTGGCTGGGGAAGTCGCGGGCAGACCCCTAACCCCCACCTCCTGTGGGCTCCAAGCACCGGCGTGCAGAGGCAGCTGTGGCCCCCGCTCTGGCCTCAAGGCCCTTGCGAGCCAGGCTTCCTTCCCTGTCTCCTCTCGCATCTAGATGCTGGCAGACAACAGCATCCCCCAAAGAGGCCTCTGTGTTTCCATTTCTGAGACGTTTCCTTTTAAAAATGAAATGAATCCTTCTTAGCTGCTTCTGTCTAAACACAGTTGAGATGAGTTAACTCCTGTGTTTGGTTGCCTCTTGGTTTTTGAAAAGTCAGCTCTGAGGCACAACGATGTGAATCACAGGGCGCCCTTTGTGCCCTCCCACCCTGCCCGTCTGAGGGTCACCTCTCCTCACAGCATCAGCCCCTGAATGACCAGGCTGCGGGCCCCTCTCCTCACCACCCCAGAGGCCACTTTCTGTGCTGCCCCTATCAGTGTCCATGGGACAGTTCCCCACTGCGCCCATCACGCCAGGCTCCTAATACATCCTTTTGGTGGTGACCAGAGTGACCTTTCTAGAATGATAACCCCATCATGGAAGGCTTCTGAAGCTGATCTTTCAGTGGTTTTTCATTGCCCATGGGGTGAAACCCAAATTCATCTGGATCTGACCCATGTCAGGCAGGGCTGCTCAGTGGTTACGAACCTGGTCTGTGGGGCCAGACAGCCCTGGATTTGCGTTGCAGCTTTACCCTCAACCAGGGGCCAAGCATCACCCTCTCAGGTTCCTCATCTGTAAAACAGGTTTAATGGTACCTGTGTAATGGGTGGCTGTGCTGATTGAGCAAGCTGATGTCTATAAAGTGTTTAGCACAATGGCTCAAACAGTAAACTTGAGGAAAGGTCAGGGGTTGTTATTTTAGCCAAGGAGGAAGGGGTCGCGGATGAGACCAGGAGCCCTGTGTCAGATGCACTGAGTACTGCCGTTGACTGCTGGCGTGACCTCAGGCAACCCCGCTCCTCTCCAGGCCTCAGCTGCCCTGTCCAGAGCAGAGCTGTTCCTTCCTTCATGGGGCAGCAGCGAGGAGTAAATGGTCGGGCACAGCGGTCTACCCACAGCTGCACTCGCTGGTAACGTTCTCGGTGCGTCAGTGGCCTTAAAGCTGTGCCCACTCAGATTCAGGGGCTCCTCTCTGGGGCTCACCTGCCCCCTGTCACAGCACTGCCCTCGTTCTTATTCCTGACCACCCAACACTGACCTTGAGCTCTCGCTCATCTCGGCCTCCAGGGCCTGGCGTGTTGACAGGTGCAGCGCGGCCCTGCCTCTTTCCCACCTCTCGTGTGCCCCAGGACCCAGCTCGCACCTGCCTTCCCCTCTCAAAGACCCTCCTCCACTCATTGACTGCCTCCTCCACTTCCACCGGAGGCATCCCAGGCCCAGAGAAGGAGCAAGGTAGGAGTCACAGGGGCTAAGTGGCAGAGCTGGGGTAGACGCTGGCTAAGATGGTGGAGACACGCGCACGGCTAACGGGAAACGGGCGCCATTTCCCTGAGCAGACTGGCAGCACTGAACTCAGCCGTCCTCAGAGCCAGGAACAAAGGATGTGCTTGAAAACTATGGGTTAAGTCACACATTTATAAATTTTGTAAATTTATATGATTGCATTTTTTAAAATTCTAGTAAAGTATACATAACATAAATGCACCATCTTAACTACTTTTGTATAGTTCAGTTGTGTTAAGTACATTCACATTGTTGTATGATCATCACCACCATCTCCAGAACTCTTTCATCTTACAAAACTGAAACTCTCTCCCTATTAAACTACCCGCCATTCTCCCGTATTCCCAGCTCTTGGCAGCCTATATAATTATATCTTTTATAAAATCTCAACAGAAAAACAAAAATGACCATTTACAAAGGCAATTACCAAACTGATTTTTCTTTCCATCCATAAAATTTCAATCACTAAACATCACAGCCCTTCTATTAATATTATTTACCAGGTGCTTCTTGCTAATCCTCTTGGTCCACTACTGCGAAATTGCCCTTCTGTGGGAGTAGGTTAGACAGCACACTTGCTCACCATGCTCTAAAAGTCATATTTATGTTTTTTATATTTCATAAAGTGTTGACTATAAAAAAGAAGTTTCAAAGTGATGTTGCTACTATTCTAGTTGAAAAACAAGATAGATTACTTAAACGCTTTCTCCTAAGACATGGAATAAATGAAAGTAAATTAAATAGCACAGCCCCTTGAGGAAGTAACCAAAAGAAGATTGTGTCGCTAAGGAAAGAATGTCTCAAAGCTCATCTCAGAGTGCAAACAATCAAGGCTCTGTGGAAAACAGGGAGTCATGCAAATTGATTTGTGCCGTGAAAGCCTCAAAAATAGAAACAAAAATTGTTTGCCAAGTCGAAGTGACCATCTAATGAAGGTAAGACAGGGAAACTAGAAAGAACTCCTACGCCTGGGATGAGAATCAGGATTGCGAGACGGAAACGTGCCGTGCCCTGTGTAAAGGGTCTTTATATACGTGGCGCTTTGGGAGTCTCCACCTTCCTCATGCACGTGCGAGTGTGGGTAAAGGCTGGAAAAGTAGACAAGTGAAAAGACATTATTATACGTCTACATGAGTGAGATCTGTGTGTTTGTGAAATACTACATTAGTAGAATTAGCCAAAGGATCTATAGGATATAACTAAATGTAAATATGGAAATTGCATATTTCTGTTCATAGGATACCAGTAATTTACTGCATGTGCCAGATGATTTAAGTTTGGGTGTTTTCTTATCCAGTGACATGAATATCAATTTCTCCAAACAGGAAAAGATCAAAACAAAATCCTTGCCAGGCATGGTGGCACACGCCTGTAATCCCAGCTACTCAAGAGGCTGAGGTGGAAGGATTGCTTAGGCCCAGGAGTTCAAGACCAGCCTGGGCAAAATAGCAAGACCCTATCTTATAAAATATATATCTCTGAAAGCCAATTAATATGCCCGACCCTAAAAGGTCAAGTCTAGCAATCATACATAGAAAATTTTTTTTTTTTTTTGAGAGTCTCACTCTCTTGCCTGGGTTAGAGTGCCGTGGCATCAGCCTAGCTCACAGCAACCTCAAACTCCTGGGCTCAAGCCATCCTCCTGCCTCAGCCTCCTAGGTAGCTAGGACTACAGGCATGCGCCACCACGCCCAGCTAATTTTTTCTATTTTTAGTTGTTTGGCCAATTTTCTTTCTATTTTTAGTAGAGACGGGGTCTCGCTCTTGCTCAGGCTGGTCTCGAACTCCAGAGCTCAAACAATCCGCCCACCTCGGCCTCCCAGAGTGGTAGGATTACAGGCATGAGCCACCGCGCCCAGCCAGAACATCTTTTTTAAAAAAGCGAAGCAATGGTATAACTTACTCTTTGTCCCAGCCTAGTGATTCCTGAGCGTCATATATTTTATCATGCTCCTTTAAATGTCACTCTGTCATGATTCTTAATTACATTGGACACTGGGGATGGAGAAACCATTCAGAAGAGAGAATCTTCACCTATAGAACACCTCAGATGGGGTCACGAGGCGCACTTGGATGTAGAGTTGTCCAGTCTGAATCTGATTTCCCTACTGCCCACATGGCCATGGCACCTCTGTAACATCCCTGAGCCCACTCTCACCATCATTACAAAGTGACAGCGACAGGGCTGTTGAGAAGACTGGATGGAGTGATACTCACCACACACTGCCCCTCACCCCTGCTCCTGCCCTACTTAGCCCCAGCCCCAGGGCCCTGCCTATTTCAGCTCTCCTGGTAAGCTGAAGTGAAGCACTTTCTCTGTGAAGTGCCAAGTAGTAAATATTTCTGGCTTTGCAAGCCTTCGAAGCGCCTGCTCAACTCTGCCACTGTAGCAAAAGCAGACACAGATAACACGTAAACAAACAGGCAAAGCTCTGTTCTGGTAAAATTTACAAAGCAGACAGTGAGCCAGATATGGCCTGTGGGCCATAATTTGCCAACCACTGTATAAAGAAAAAGACCATAAATATTCCTTATCTGCAAAGTTAGATATAATTGCCAAATAGGTCCTCTACTCCAGCAAATAGAATCACTTTCTTGTCAAATACCCATGGAACATTTACAAAAGTTTTATAAATATTAAGCCACCCAAAAAGAAATGTCAATGATTTCCATAAAAAGTAGAAAAAATGATTAAAATGTGATAAAAGTTAAAGATTAGATGAAAACGGGTGGATTTGTACTAAGGGATCCGTGTGCTGTGCCAGGAGATAATTCACTTCTTTTGCACTTTTAGGTATGAAATAATGTACTCTTGCTGGAGAGCTGATCCCTTGGACCGACCTACCTTTTCAGTGTTGAGGCTGCAGCTAGAAAAGCTCTTGGAAAGTTTGCCTGATGTTCAGGACAAAGCAGATATCATTTACATCAACACGCCGTTGCTGGAGAGCTCTGAGGGCCTGGCCGAGGGCTCTGTGCTCCCTCCGCTGGACATGAACATTGACCCTGACTCTATAATCACCTCCTGCACGCCCAGTGCTGCCATCAGCGTGGTCACAGCAGAAGTTCACGAGAACAGACCTCACGAAGGAAGGTACATCCTGAATGGGGGCAGTGAGGAGTGGGAAGATCTGGCTTCTGCCACCGCTGCTGCAGTCACAGGTGAAAAGAACAGTGTTTTCCCGGAGGACAGACTTGTAAGGAATGGGGTCTCCTGGTCCCTCTCTAGCACCCTGCCCTTGGGGAGTCCACTGTCAGATGAACTTTTGTTTGCTGACGACTCCTCAGAAGGCTCAGAAGTCCTGATGTGAGGAGAGCTGGGAGGAGACATTTCAAAATCAAATCCATTCTTCTGTTTAGGAGAACCCAATTAGACCTGACGTTTTTGGTATTTGTTTTCCTTACCAAGTAACCTCCATGGCCCCAAAGCACCAGATGAATGTTGTTGAGTAAGTCGTCATTAAAAATACATAATATATATTTATTTAAAGAGAAAAAACATATATGTATATGGTGGAAAGAGACAAGGATATTATATTTTAATAAAAGATGACTTATTTCACTGATCTTGCAGATCTTAAAATTTAAGCTTCAGCCGTTCTTTGATATTAACATTTGTACAGACAGAGTCAAAGTTTTCTAAGGTTCTTTTCCTTTCCATGACTGTTAAATGTAAAATATTTGTACAATGAAATGCCATATTTGACTTGGCTCCTGGTCTTCATGTATTCGATAAGAATGATTCATTTAATATTTAAAATTTTAAAACTGATTAATTTTCTGATATGACTTCCTAATAAAATATGAATGAAGAACATGTTGAACTTACTTGAGACTTGGAAAGACAGTGGTTGCTGGCAGCCTCAGTGCCTTTGCACAGGAATTCTCTTAGCACCAGGTCCTCAGTGCAATTGCTCTGATCTTTCTTGGCATTGTTTTTTAGAGATACGGAAAAACCACTCCAGGAGTCCACAGATGGGAACAGAAAATCTTAAAGGACTGAAAAATACAAATCAAGTAGGAATATTTAAAACAAACTGTAAAGGAGAGTGTGGCCGCCCTTCTCTGTTGGGAGGCTTGACTCACAGGCGGCAAGCGTGGGCGGGGGGCAGGCCATGGGCTCTGGGGCTCAGCACACCTGCGTGCACGTCTGGGCTCTGCCACTTCATAATAGCCGTCGTTTGTTGAGCACTTATTATGTTCCAAGAACTTTACGTGAATGGTCCTATTTAATCTGTATGCCATTATATTAACACCGTGGGTGCCAGCGCCATCATCACGTGTGGGCAAGAAAGCTGAGGCTTTGAGAGATTGAATAACCTGCTTATGGCCCACATCTAGAGAGTAGGGCAACCAGAATTTAGAATGTCTGATTCTGGCTGGCTCTAAGCATGTGATTTAAGGGTCTACTCCAGAACCTCTCGACATTTTTATTTTATTTAATAAACATTTAACACTTACTATGCTCCAGGCACAGTACCTATTTAATCCTCATAACAACTCTTCCAGGTAGGTACTCCTATTATCTCCACTTCACACATGGGCAAAGTGAGGCAGGAAGAGGCTAACTGATTCTGCTAGTAAGGGCAGGAGACTGATGTAGTCAGTTGAATTATTGATGCCTCAGTCGTTGGGGCAGCTGGCCACTGGCATCCGCAGGCCGGTCAACTCCCCACTGCTGAGCAGCCTCACCCAGGCCTCTTGCAGCCTTCAAGGATCAGTGTCTACACAGGATCCAGTAGTGTCTACACAGGATCCAGGAGTCCTGGTCACAGCTGCCAACCCAGTCACCCGATCTCCAGGGTGAACCGGCTCCTCTGTTATTGTGAAATGTTTCAGATGAAAAAATTCTGAGGGTTTGAAAAGAATCGCATTGTTACATGAAATGCCAGCATTACATCTTATTAATGAAAGAAAAAAAGGCTATAGATACTACAAAGATAATTTATTTATACTGTTGAAAATTTTTGAATAGTCATTAAAAAATCAATGAAAAAATTATCACCTACTTGAGTAAAGTTTCTTATGGATGCTGACTTTCAAGAATTTGAGGAATTCGGCCGGGCGCGGTGACTCACGCCTGTAATCCTAGCACTCTGGGAGGC